CACCTGATTTGTGAAATAAAAATCAATTCACCTGTTTTTTGAAAATGAAATTTTAAAAGTAGGTTTGTAGGTAATTTTCTCCAATTGGAGGCGCCACGACGACACCTTTTTTTTGAGCCTGGCCCAAAAGCAATACACTTATTAATTGCAGGGCGCCACATTGACGCCCTGTTTTTGAGCTTGGCTAGAAGCAATACACTTATTCCAATCACACAAACACAATTGCTGACAAAAGCAATAAAATCATGCAAACATTTTTCGGTCATTACAAGTCCATGACCAAAAACTACACACAGTAGTGGTATATCTGCAATTTAAGTGATAAATAAGGGCAATAATTCCTGTCATGTTATTCTTTTCTTTTTTTGCTCTCCAACTTTATTTTGCTTTTTTTCGCCCTTGTTTCACTTTAAATAAAATATTTGACCGTTGCTTTTCTCTCTCCACGTCTCTCTCTATATCTCTTTCTCTCTCACACACACATTAACACGCTAGTGTGATCCAGCATAAACAAATTCCGGCTTCAGGTAGGAATGTCATTTCTTTCTAATCATGTTGAAATCAATTATTTTTTGTACTTATTTTGTTCGTTATAAAGGTGTGCTGGAACTGAAGAAGATCACGAAACATACTTTCTTGAAACAGGTTTAGTTTCTTTTTGTACAATGGTTTGTTTCTGATTTTCTTGAATTAAGCTGTGAAAACAGTATGGGTTTTCATAATCTGGGAAATTGTTTTGAGGGATTTAAAGAATTTTGCATGTTTGTAGCTGAATTGCATGGAAACTGATACTTTTGTAATGGGTTTTTAATTTATAATTATAAACTTTGTAATTCTGGGATTAAATTATTGGGTTTCTTTTCTTTTTTAATTTATGAAAAAACTAAGTTTAATATTTTAAAATAATTGTCCAATTTCTCTCTGAATTTAGTCGTTTGCTGTTTGTTATTCAGTAAACACGAGTTCAAGCTTGAGTTTATTTTCTGTCATTTTTCATTGGCAGTTTTTGTATTTGCTTTTGCAAATGCGAGAAACTTCAGGAGATGTTTCAATTATAAAATTTACTTTTGAATCAGACTCCTTTACTTTTTCTCTTATTTTGTCGATGTTTGTGGGTAGAGAAAAAGGAATGTGAACAAGATTTCACATGGACGACCCCAAATTTATAGGGAACAAGTCTTAGTTTGCTGTTGTGTGCATGTCTTGGGGTGGGGATATTATATTTTCATCAAATTTTCCAGGCAGATTGTACTTTAGGAAGGGTTTCCGCGTTAAAATACTTGATTGTCTCCTTGCATTAAGTTTGATTATCTACTTTTTCTTGGTTCCAGCAATAATGGCTGATTTAATTATGCAATGAAGCAGAATGTTTTCTTTTCCAGTATGGCTTTAAACCTTTATCATTTTCGGTGTTCTCTTACTACCTTTATAATGAAGACTGCTATCATATTGGTAATTATATTTACTTTTCTCCATTTAATTGTCACTCTTTAATCAACCACTTACCTTTCACTTTTACTTTATTTTCCCTTCTATCAAGGTAGTGCCTAAAATAAGTACGATCTTCCATTTTTTTTTATCATGCTTTAGAAAGTGCTGGTGAAAGTATTTTAGTCTCGGTAATTTCCAGCGCAAGAATTTCAGTGTACATTTATTTTCTTATGTGAATTTTCTTCCATTATCTTAAGGTTGAGATTGTTCGAAGGTTTTGATTCGAGGAGGCGAATAGCATTTAAATATTACTTCACAAGTTCTCAAATCTTCTCTTACTTGAGATCAAAGTAAAGAATTTTCATGGCTACTAATTTTTATCTACATCTATGTCAGTTCACAGGTTCATATAATTCTACTGAATAGTCTAATTCGTTTCTTGTTTTTTTCTTGCTGTATACTCTTGCAGTAACTTTTCTACAGAATAGGACTCTCATACTTACTTTCTTGTCTTAAATAGCCAGATAATTTCCTTATGAATGGGGTAGAAACATCGAGAAAAATTTGTTTTGATTTCCATTTAGATTCTAGAATGAAAATTCCATCAAAGTCAAAAGAGTGAAGGGAAAACAGAGCTAAAGAGATGGGATGTTCTGCATCGAAGCTGGATGATGAAGAGGCTGTCCAACTTTGCAAGGATCGGAAGAGGTTCATTAAACAAGCAGTTGAATATAGGATAAAGTTTGCCTCTGGGCACATTGCTTATATCAAATCCATGAAAAGAGTTTCTGCTGCACTTCGAGAATATATTGATGGAGACGAGCCTCGTGAATTCTTGTTAGATTCATTCACGCCACCGCCCATAAAGAAAACAAGCCAGGGTTTCATCTCTATACCACCAACATCCTTCACTCTAAAACCAATCAAATCTGAACCTGAATCGACTTATAAAATAAATTACCTTAGGTCTGGTGGAAACCCTGCTGTGGCAGTTGAGGAAAGACCACCTCAGTCACCGGAAACTGTCCGAATCGAGGCTTACTCCCCTGTGCATCAATTTGGAATGGATAGGATTTTTGCAATGCAGTCCTCTCCCATGAACTCGTCTTCATTCTTCCATTACTCCCCAAACAACAGACCCAATTTTCCTCCACCTTCACCTCAAACATCTCAATGGGATTTCTTCTGGAATCCCTTTTCTTCGTTAGATTACTATGGATATGCCACTGGAAGCAATCTTGATCAGACATTTTTTGATGATGATAATGATGAGTTAAGGCAAGTTCGAGAAGAAGAAGGCATACCTGAATTAGAAGAGGACTCCGAACAAGAAGAAATCGATGATGGAGAAAATATGAAAGCCGAGAGAGATCGTAAGGTTGATCTGGAATCTGACAGAGACGAAGTTATCGTGGAAGATGTTGAAGAGAGTGATGAATGTGATGAGTGTGATGAGTGTGACAGTGATGATGACACAGATAGCGGAACTGAAACAAAGCAACATATCCAAGGATTAGAGCCCCACAAACACCAACACATGGAAGTAGCAAAAAATCAAAATATAGTTCAAAACAACAGTAAAGAAGCCATAGTAGCTGATTGTGAATCAAAGTCAGAAACACCGGGATTTACTGCTTATGTAAATCGAAGGCCAACTAGCATGGCAGAAGTTATTAAGTATCTTGAAGATCAGTTCATGATGGTCTGTAAATCAGCTAGTGAGGTTTCATCCATGTTGGAGGCGAGCAGGGCTCAGTACTTATCGACATATAATGATCTCACAGGTTTGATGACAGTATTCAGTTTGCTTGGATGCTAACTCTGTGCATATTGTCATACATCTCTTGTTGTCTTTATTTTTCCTTTTCAAATTTAATCACTTTATGGTAATAGAAATTCAACAACTGAAGAATCTAAACAGATTCTGAAAAAATTTCAATAAATTCTGAAAGCAATGAAATAGTTTAGAGCACATGGGGGCGAGAAAGTATCTTTAAGTTGAGGATTTCAACAATAAGCTTCTTGCAATTTAAATATATCTCCTTCAGCGAGTAAATGCTTTCTGTTGCCAACATAAACACACTTCTATTACTTAATAGTTAATACGTGTTAGTAATAAATAGCTTCTCGACATTGACTAAATATGTAAGATGTTCCATGGCGACCTGTCCTGTCATTTGAGTATTAAGTTTACAACATGGCATTTACTTGGACTAAATCTCTTAATCCAACACCATTCGTAGTTGATGCCTGTGGAAAGAGCTATCTAACTTTGTCAAAATGCTGGTACAAGTGCATTTGTTCTGTAAGGAACTTTGAATAGAAAGGATATTGGCTTAGTACCTTATAAATTTGTTTTCTAATTCAGTCAAATATTTGTTTTTACAGCAGCAAAAATGATCAATCCAATGGCTTTGTTCCGGTCAGCTTCGTCCCGATCATCCTCATCGAGATTTTTAGTCAAAGCTTCAACTTCAAGAGAAGAAGGTTGCGAAAGCAACAGTGACTTGTCTGAAGAGTCCTGCATGTATTCAGGCAGTCACCAATCAACCCTGGACAGGTTATATGCTTGGGAGAAAAAGCTTTACCAAGAAGTTAGGGTATGCTTCTTCAACCAAGGAACAATCTCGTACCAAATAGGAATGTATGAACATACAAACAACTAACAAGAAATGAAACACTACAGGGTACTAGTGTATGCACTTGCTGAGGAAAGATACATAACTGAATAAGTTACTTGCATGTGACGAAAAACTTTTCTAAGGAAATCACAGTATGCCTATGTAACCATCAAACTGTCTTGAATGAGCATCTCAACTTCAATGATTATTTCAAATTAATAAAAGATGTGCAAATATCTGTGCCTGCATATATGTTTTTAAGAGTAGGAAGGTTGTGAACGTGAAGAATTGTGTTCATTGATGGCAAGTTTTCTTCATCAGCACTATTTTTATTCCTATTGTTGATACCATGGACAAAATCCCATCCTGTATAACTTGGAGTTCGTGTTAAGGCCCTTGGTGATTTAATATCAATTCTCTTTATTTTGATTCACTTATTAATAATCTTCATAACTAAACAGGCTGGTGAACGCATTCGGATAGCATATGAAAAGAAGTGTAAACAACTGAGAAGTCAAGACGTGAAAGGAGAAGACCCTTCCTCTGTAGATAAAACAAGAACGGCCATCAGAGATTTACAAACTCAGATGAAAGTTTCAATTCACTCTGTTGAAGCTGTCTCAAAGAGGATCGAAACTTTAAGGGATGAAGAACTGGAGCCTCAGCTTTTAGAATTGGTGCAAGGGTAAGTTCAAGATTCTAAAATTTTATAGGGCTTTTGGGCAAAAGTGTTACCAATTTAGTTAGTCAATCCTTCATAATACTGTGTCATGTTCATTGTCAAGCTCAACCATGTTTTTTCTGGACATTTTCATTTCCTCGGTTTTGAAATCCATAAAAGGTTAAAAAAAGTCTCTCCAACCCAAGTTTTTATCCAAGTTTAAGTGATTAATGTTGTGTGGGTTTGCGGAAATAACATGGAGTGCATGCTTACTGTTGAATGCTATTGATTATTGCCTACAAAACAAGCTAGGATAGTTTTAAGCCGTAAAACCAAGGAATTATTTATCTCTAAATTCTTAATCACAGCTTGTCTAGGATGTGGCATGCAATGGCAGAAGGTCATCAATTGCAAAAGCGTACTCTAGATGAAGCTAAGATCTTACTAGCTGGAATGCCTTCAAAACTGTCAGGAAAGAAATACACTGCAATGTCACCTTCTTTGCCGCACCGACTAGCCCGTTCAGCAGCTATCCTCGAGATGGAGCTCAGGAATTGGAGAGCCTGTTTCGAGTCATGGATTGTTTCTCAACGATCCTACGTGCATGCGTTGACAGGCTGGCTCTTGCGTTGTGTCCGTTCGGACGCAGACACATCAAAATTACCATTCTCTCCTTGTCGAACCTCTGGTGCCCCACCAATATTCTCTATTTGCATCCAATGGACTAGGTTTCTTGATACCGTCCGTGAGGCCCCAGTTCTTGAAGGGCTCGATTTTTTTGCAGCAGGTGTTGGTTCTCTGTACGCACAGCAGCTACGGGAAGATTCTCGAAAGAATTTGGGTGGATCAAAGAGGTTTGGAGGCGAACCCATTGGGGGCATGGAGATGGTTGAAGTTGGACAATTTGAAGATGAAGTAATGACCGCAGAAAAAATGTCTGAAGTAGCTATTAGAGTGCTATGTGCTGGAATGTCAGTTGCAGTGAGTTCATTGACACAGTTTTCGGTTAGTTCAGCGGAAGGATATGCTGATTTGTTGCAGCAATGGGATAATCCGAAGCAGCCACAGAATTCCAATGGGACGGGAAAGTTAAGTAGGTAGGTAGTAGGAATTTCAATGTAAATTACATATAACTTAATGTCATATATACAAGTAGATGAGGAAACCTTTTATCTTCTATTCAGTATGATTCTTTGCTGCTAGTGAAAGATAAATGGTTGAGATTTTGGGATTGGTTTAAAAAGAAAAAAAAAATGGTTTTGCAAGAAACATTTTGTTTAAAATTCTTTGTAATTTACGTATTTGTAGTTGTAGGGATGATGGCAAACTCTTCCTATACTATCTTTGGTAGAAAAATCATTGTAATTATGAGCCTCGTATGCCCCTACATGAAATAAATGTCTATGTATCTTTGATTGTGGCACCACTCGGCCACAACCTTTCGAGAAGTAGCAGAACTCATCCCTGTTCACGATTTCTATTAATGGATCATCATGCTATATTTAAGCGCTTGATCGCCATTTAGACATATTTGTGATTTATTTTTGCTTCCCAAATGTTGAAGAAATGTTTAGCACATGTTATAAACGACATAAAGTCCGATAGGGTAGGAATACATTTTTATGCTTTATGCAATCGTTATGATGTTTTTTAATTGTCATAGACTTTTATATATTCGAACTCTCAAAAAAGAATATTTGAGGGTTGTATATGAATGTAAGTTCAACTTTACTCGAGAGAAATTGCTGTATATATAAGATCATCAATTGTCATGAAGATCGTGAATTAAAAATAATAACGAGAGAGCTAAAATAGAATAATGGATGGAGCCGAATCCTAGTATTTTAATCATCTTTGAAATATAATCTAATTAAGTCACCGTTATATAATCTTAGCCTGTTTTCATAAAGTTGTTGGTCTAGAGACGGATTAAGTAGCAATTACGGAAGTAGCCCTCATGAGGACTTAAGACATAAACCAATATAAGCTCCCGAACACTTTTAGATTTGATTGCATTTTTTAGAAACGCATATCTGATGCAGGAGGGTACGAATCAGATGTTGAGTTGTCAAATAACACATTAGTGACTCTAAGGTATCACGAAGTAACCCTTGATTTCTTAGAAACGCACATCCCTCGCAATGCTTTGCCAAGTTTTTTGCAGGGCTTCGCCTCCCCCATTTGCATCTCTGCATAAAACTTGGAAGATCTTATATTGGAAGCTAACATACAATTAACAATTTGGTACCATTACAGGAGAAATTAAGGGTCTCACACAAATTAGGCCTTTGCATTTTAACTAGAACCGAACCTCCCGAATTAGGATGGGAGGCTCCGGTCTGGTTCAAACAAAAATAAATTAGGAATCGGAACTGAGAATCGAGCATCGAGAGCCGATTCGGTCTGGTTTAGTTCTTGGTTCCTGAATCAAAATCGTGGGTACCCAAATAGAATCGAATTTTTATATAATTTTTTATTTACAATTTATAGGTTGGGTAAAAATAAAAATACAAAATCTAAAAAATTTATTTTGGGTAATAATTTGTCTAAAACTCCAGAATTGAACTCTAAGAAATCAAGGCTGGCTTCTACTTTTTTGTCTCTCATCCCACATCATATTGTTGTATTTAAAGGTTATTATGCTAATTTTTACAGTTTGAGCTTTTTGTGAAAAAAATAAAAAAGTTCAACCTAGATTGTGGTGTAAGTTGATGAATCAAAGCGTTCATATATTGCAATTTGAGTGAATGTTAATCAAAGCGATCAAATTTAAGTGTTTTTTTTATAATGCTTAACAATTGAATTAACCCGTGTTTAGTAGAGATTAAAATCAAATTTTTAGTAGATTTTGATAAAATTTGATGAAATATGTGATTGAAAAGTTGTGGGTCTAATGAAATGTATGATTAAAATTAATTGCCGACTTTAACTTAAAATTTTAATTGAATTTTAATCCAAACCAAACAATGATTTAATACATTCATAACTTGGACTGTGATGTACCTTTTTAATTGTTTAGAGTTCGTTATTCTTTTTTGAATTTAACTTCATTTTTTATTCAAATGAATAAAATTGAGTGAGTATAATACGTGGAATGAATTATTTTGATAATATTTAATTATGTATCTAATTAGTATTTTTTTGTTTCATTTCATTTTAACAGAAAGATTTTAAACATTGTTCATAATTAAATTGAATGCTTTAGCATGACTCACTTACAGATCGAATAAGATTTATTATTTTAAATTTCTTCTCAAATTGTAATTTAATTTTTGATATATAATTTTCTCTTCTTTTCGTGATTTTTAGTGTCCACTATTTTGCTTTTTGAAGATTTCTTAACTGAATTTTTTCCTTGCATGAATATTGATCTAGTAGTATCGTACTAGGTATATATATTGAAAAGGCCTATATGAATTTTTTTATAAAATGTATATAATGAAAACCGAACCGGAACCGACAGTTCGGGTTGGTTCCAATAATTTTAAGGATCCGAATAGTTCCATTTATAAAATACTCGAAATATAATAGGTGGTCAGGGTATTGAAATCGCCGGACTGACCCTACCGACGCCCATGCCTTCCACAATTTTTTGAAAAGTTGAAAATTGCTTATGAGATTAATAAGCTGCCTTAATGCTTTTTTATTGTCTTGCTAACAATTATGATTTAAGTTATATCAAATTTCTATTACATTATCTTAGGAGTATAAAGTTTCATAGTTTCTATTATCTTACGACAATGTTCATAAAATGTTGCAAAGGAATAAAAAAAAAAAATTCAAGAAAATACTTACAAAAATGTTGCAAATAAGTTAAAGGCAACGTTCCAAAAATGTTACAAAAAGGTTCATAATAACATTTACGGAACCTTGCGAAAAGATGAGCATATTTAAAACGTTGTAAATAATCTTTTCACAACGTTTTTTAATTAATGTTGCAAAAATGTTATTAGCAACATTGATAAGACGTTGTAGTAGGTTATTCGAAATATTTAAAAAACGTTGCAAAAAAGTTATTAGCAACACTCAAAAAAGTTGTCGTATTCTTCTACTATACAACAACATGGAGGTTTGCAATATACGTTGAACGTTGTAAAAGATCTTCGACAACAATTTTTTGAATGTTATAAAAGGCTATGTTGTTATAGTGTTACTTGCATAAGTGAATAATTTACATACATTTTTTGACAAGATTGATAACATAAACTTCTCTCTTTTATTCAGATTTGCCAACCTCGTGAATTTTTTTATGCCAGAATTGTACGAACATGTCAAGATTACTAAAACTCACATTTTCATCGACGAAAAATTACCTAAGCACAACATATCTTTTGCTATCATCTAGGGAATCAGCAATGAATGAGTAACATATACGACATTAACATTCACCAACAGACTCAGGGATGGAAATTTTGTTGGTGAAGGTTGATAGAATTCACCTACGCAAAT